ATGTTCACTAGTAGATTCCATCTGAATAAACCACTTTCTTTGCTAATCCATAAGAAACAACTCCTCATTTGTTAAAGTTTTATCATGAGATTGCAGCAGTTCAGTCATATCTTCAGGCTCCACTTCTAATTCTAGTTCTTTCGTTGTTTCTACCACATCTGCAGTTACTTCCTCCACTTAAGTCTTGAACCCCTCAAAATCATCCAGGAGGGTTGGAATCAACTTCTTCCAAACTCTGTTAATATTGATATTTTGACCTCCTCCCATGAATCACTAATGTTCTTAATAGCATCTAGAATGGTAAATCTTTCCAGAGGTTTTCAATTTACTTCACCCAGATCCATCAGAGGAATCACTATCTATGGCAGCTATAGCCTTATGAAATGTATTTCTTAAATAATAAGACTTGAAAGTCAAAATTAGTCCTTGATTTGTGGGCTACAGAATGGATGTTGGGTTGGCAGGCATGAAAACAACATTAATCTCCTTGTACATCTCCATCAGAGCTCATGGGTGATCAGGTGCATTGTCAGTAAGCAGTAATATTTTGAAAGGAATCTTTTTTTCTGAGCAGTAGGTCTGAACAGTGGGATTAAAATATTCAGTAAACCATGTTGTATACCGATGTGCTGTCTTTCAGGTTTTGTTCTGTAGAGCACAGGCAGAGTAGATTTACCATAATTCTGAAGGGCCCTGGGATTTGTGGAATGGTGAATGAGCATTGGCTTCAACTTAAAGTCACCAGCTGCATTAGCCCCTAACAAGTGAGTCAGCCTGTCCTTTGAAGCTTTTTGAAGCCAAGCATTGAATTCTCCTCTCTAACTGTGAAAGTCCTAGATGGCATCTTCTTCCAATATAAGGCTGTTTCATCTACATTGAAAATTTGTTGTTTAGTGTAGCCACCTTCATCAGTTAGCTAGATCTTCTGGATAACTTGCTTCAGCTTCTACATCAGCACTTGCTTCTTCACCTTGCACTTTTATGTTATGGAGATGGCTTCTTTCCTTAAAACTCATGAACCAACCTCTGCTAGCTTCAAACTTTTCTTCTGCAGCTTCCCCACCTCTCCGCCTTCATAGAATTGAAGAGAGTTAGAGCCTTGCTTTGGATTAGACTTTGGCTTAAGGGAATGTTGTGGCTAATTTTGATCTTCTATCCAGACCACTAAAACTTTCTCCATATCAGCAATAAGGCTGTTTCCCTTATTATCCGTGTGTTCACTGGGGTAGCATTTAATTTCCTTCAAGGACTTTTCCTTTGCATTCACAGCTTGGCTGTTTGGTGCAAGATACCTAGCTTTCAGCCTGTCTCGGCTATCAACATGCCTTCCTCACTAAGCTTAGTTGTTTCTAGCTTTTGATTTAAAGTGAGAGACATACAAGACTTCCTTTCACTTGAACACTTAGAGGCCATTGTAGGGTTATTAATTTGCTTAATTTCAATATCATCCTGTCTCAGGGAATAGGGAGGCCCGAGGAGAGGGAGAGAAGTGAGTAACGGCCAGTCAGTGGAGCAGTCAGAACACACACAACACTTATCGGTTAAGTTTGCTGTCTTATATGGGTGTGGTTCTTGGTGCACCCATATAAGTAGTAACTTCAAAGATCACTGATCACAGAGCACTGTAACCAAAACCAAAACCAAATCCATTGCCATGAAGTCAATTCTGACTCATAGTGACTCTATAGGACAGAGTAGAACTGCCCCATATGGTTTACAAGGAGCGGCTGGTGGATTCAAACTGTCAACCTTTTAGTTAGTAGCCTTAGGTCTTAATTACTGTGCCACCAGTATTCCATCACCATAACAAATATACTAATAATGGAAAAGTTTGAATATATCTCAAGTATTTTTGTTTTCTTTCCTCCCTTATCTCATTACTTATAAAATATAAGATATAGAAAGGGCTAGTGTGTTTTCAATTGTACCCATGTTAGTTGTATTATGTTAGGTGCAATATGACTTTATAATTGCCTTTATTAGAGATTATGTATGGTTTAAGGACATATATACGGTATGCAAGTTGTCAATGTATACAGGTGCCAAATTGTCAAGGGGTAGACTATGATGGTGAATGTTATGTGTCAGCTTGGCTAGGACATGATTCTCAGTATTATGTAATTATCCTCCACTTTGCGATCTGATGTTAGAGGAGTTTCTTTGGGGTGTAGCCTACATCCGTTATGTATGGAAGTTCTAGCAAAGCTTGCACCCACACAGTCCTGCATCTGAGTCATCATCCTCTGACCTCTGGTTCTTGGGATGTGAGCCAGCAGCCTTCCCCCTGACCTGCAGTTCTTGGGATTTGGCAGCTCCCACAACCCAGTGAGCCAGCAACCTTCTGCCTGACCTGCTAATTTTGAGTTCGTTGGCTCCTGCAACCATGTGAGTCAGGAGAAGCCTCCAGCCTGCTGCCTGACCCACGAATTTGGGACTTGCTAGCCTCCACAACTGTGTGAGCCATTTCCTTGAAATAAATCTCTCTCTATATATTTATATATATAATTTACTGGTTTTGCTTCTCTAGAGAACCTAGCCTAAAACATTTCCAAGGATGTAAATCTTTACAGAAGCAGAGTGCCACCTTTTTCTTCAATGCAGTGACTGGTGGGTTCTATCCCCTGACCTTTTGGTTAGTAGCTGAGCACTTAACCACTGGGCACCAGAGCTCCTGAATCAATAATTATAGTAAATACAAATGGGCTAAACACTTCAGTTAAAAGGCAGATGAGACTGGATTAAGAAGCAAGAACCAAATATATGCTATTTACTGAAGACACGCTTTAAATATAAAACATGTTATTGTTAGGTACCATCGAGTTGGTTCCAACTCATAGCGACCCTGTGTACAACAGAAGGAAACGCTGCCCTGTCCTGTGCCATCCTCACAATCGTTGCTGTGTTTGAGCCTGTTGTTGTAGCGACTGTGTCGATCTATCTTGTTTAGGGTCTTCCTCTTTTTGGCTGACCCTCTAAAAGTAAAATATGGTGCAAGACATGCCGCGCCAACCCTAAGTGTCATAAAGCTCTGGTAGACATACTAGTATGAGGTAAATTAGACTTTAGGATCAATATTACCAGAGCAAAGAGGCAGCATTTCATATTGATAAAAGGGTCAATTCATCAGAAAGACATAATATTAAATACACATGAGCTTCAAAATATATGAAACAAAATCTGATAAAACTGAAAGGATAAAATAGATATTTCCACAGTTATAATTGGAGATTTTTAACACTCTTCTTGTAGTCAATGTTAGAAAAAAAAAATGGCATACATTTTCTAAGTCTATAGAAGACTTGTACAGCATTATCAATCAATTAAGCCTAGTGGCATTTCTTAAATTCTATTTGGACTTTTCAAGGGCATATGGAACCTTCTCCAAAATGGATTATATGTTGGACCATAAGACAAGTCTCTATAGATTTCAAAGGATTGATGACATACAAAGTATGTTCTCTGACCACAACCAAATTAAATTTGAAATCAATAACAAAAGATCTCTGGAAAATTCCCAAATATGCCAAAATTAAGTAACACACTTCTAAATAACCCACAGGTCAAAGAAAGAAATTAGAAAATATTTTTAACTGAACGATTGAAAATGCAGCATATCAACGCTTGTGGAATGTAGCGAAAATAATGCTTACCATGAAGTTTAAATCTTTAAATGCTTATATTAGAAAAGAAAAATGTTTTAAAATATCTACTCTTTCACCTTAGAAACAGAAAAAGAGCTAATTAAATATAAAGAAAGAAAAAAATGAGATAATTCAAATAAGAACAAAAATCAATAAAATAGCAAATAGAAAAACATAACAGAAAATCAACAAATTCAAATGTTGGTTATTTGAAAAGATAATACAATTGATAAACTCTAACTAGACTGATCATCATCAAATGTTGACAAGGAGGTGGAGGTAGAGTAACCAGGACTTTCATATATTGCTGTTGGAAGTATAAATTGCAACACAACAATTCCACTCCTAGGTATCTCTACCTAATAGAAATGAAGATAGATGACCAAAACATGACTCATACAAGACTGTTCATAACAACCTTATTCATTATAACCCCAAACTGAAAACACCTCTGCTGTTCATCAACAGTATATTGACTAAACACATCGTAGGAGCTTTATAAAAGGGAACACTACTCAAATGAAAAGGAATGAAGTACTGATATATATTCAACAATATATACAAATCTAAGAAACATTATGTGGGGTGAAAGAAGCCAGTCTAAAAAGAGAATATATTCAGTGATTATAAATATATGAAGTTCTAGAATCTTCTTGGGTGCTGGAAACGTTCTATATTTTGATAACAATGTGGTTTACACAGGTGTGTGTATTTCTCAAAACTCTTTGAAATGTAACGCTTGAGACCTACAGTCTACTCTTTGTGAATTATACTTCAATAAAAAAGTAAAGAAGTATTGAAGGTATTTTCAAATAAAACAATTTTAAATGTGTTTATATCATGAGCTGTTTTTTTCTATGAGATATCTAAAATATTTTATACTTAAATTTTCTTAATGTAAGGTTAATCAAACTAGTTTTCAAGACCATCCTGTAGTTTATATTGATGTGAATGACACTCTTCTGTTTAATCATCTAGTTTGAAGCCCTTGTCTTTTTGAAAACTTTTTCTGAATTGATTAAAGGAACTGTAATTTTTTTTAATCTCAGTGAATAGCGGCAATCTTCTGAGTACATACTTGAGTACAGCAAAACGTGGTAGTAGGAAATGGAGAACTAGTTAACTGAAGACAAATGTAAATCCCTCCCCACCGTCCCCACAGCAGATTGTATTGAAGTGTCATGCCAAATAATATTTTTTGTACTTCTTGGCTCTGGTGTATTGACCTTTATATGGTTATTCATTTTTTATTCCAATACAAAAAAACAAAACAACAGAAAAAGGTTTAGATATTAGATGGAAATTACCGATTTAACTCAATTGCCCTTTAAGATGTGATTGCCCTTTTATTTTTCATAGGTTGAAGTTACATTATGCATCTTATGAGCCAACGATAAGGGTGTTACATGAGAAGCACCACACTTTACTGAAGGAGAAAATGCTGACCTCCTTGGAAAGAGACAGAGCACTTGGGCAGGTAAAGAGACAGTCTCAAAATGATTTTTAAACCATTTTTAAAAATAACGTAAGTAGAAATATTAGTTTTGTGTATGATATAAATTTTTAAAAGTTTCCACCAATTTTCATGTTTCAAAAAGGACTCATTGGAAAACATTCAGAAAAGTATTTTATTCATTTTAAGCCTATAAAAAGTGTTATTAAAGATTAATTAAAACATGAATTTATAGGGTACGGTTAAAGTGTAGTTAGTGGAAAAACTCAAGCATTGAGATCAAACAAATTTGGGCTTCAGTGCCAGCTTTGACAGCTATAACCATTAACCTTAGTCAAGTTACTTAAACAATTAGAGCTTAGATTTGTCATATATCAAATATAGCCGCAAAGACCTCCTTTTTAAGATCGTTGTGAAACTTCCATGAGATAACGAATAAAACTTACTGCAATTCTCCTGAACTGAGTATTTGACAAGTCTTATTACTGATTTGATTCTTACTCATTTTTTGCTAATGGATGACACCCTTTAGGTGTCATAGGCCTTGGCCAAGGGAAATGGTGAAGGTGAAGAAACTTTAGCAGGCATAGAATTCAAGAAAAATAAAAAAAAAAAATTATGGGACACGTTAAAAATCTGTAACAGTTTACTAGAAAGTGTAAAATGACAGCTTTTTTAAACATTTTTTGTGTCTGTTTTCTGGAAATTGTCGGTTTTGGCCAAACTTTCATTAGCTAAAAAAACTTGCATGATAGTAATACTCTTTCTTGAATAATTCTCTTGCTAAGATGTATGTAAAAATGGCTTGGGGGAGATGTCTGATTTCCTCCAACCCCAAGATCAACAGCCCAAGGCTGATTCCTCTGAGGTGGAGGTCAGACACACCTCCTCTCTCTGCCATCTCTACTAATTCTGACATCAACTGTCGCTCCCACAGTACTCTCTGCTGGGTTTAACAATTCATTGCAGTGGCCACACAGAACTCACAGACCATACTCACAATTATGGGGTTCATTAGGGAAGTAACAGTTACAATTCAGGCTCAAGAACAGGATACAGTTCTTCCATCAGGATAGCCTCTCCCCAGCTGTGCTCGCAGGCACACCTATCCCTGGCCCTCAGCCTCTGCCCAAAGACACTCAGCTTTCTCTTTCCATGGGCCAGGAAGCCCACTGCGCCATCTGCCGCTGGCTGGCTGCTGCTGGGTCTCTCCTGCTGGTCTCTCCTTCCTTGGTGGTGGTGGGCTCCTCCTCTCTGCTCTGGAATTGGCTCTCTTTTAAGGCAAATCTGTCAAATCCCCTTGGTATGCCACAGTTACCCTATCACACAATCAGTTGGGTGGGAGTTACAAGACCATGGCTAGAAAAGCCACGCACAAAAGTAATTAATTGGACCACAACATGCTTTAAACAAGTTTATTTCGTCTTTTGTGGAGTGAAATTCTTAGCTACTAAAATGCAAAATATCATTTGTCTTCATGCCTCTTGTGCTTGAATTTTAATTTTGTATTCTTGGATGTTTGAATTGTATTACAAATAATACTGCATAAAACGAGTTTAATAATAATTTACATTTTATGGTATTATATTTCAATTCTTCAGAATTTCATCTCCTCGCTCCTTTTTTATTGAACCTGTCAAACCCTCTGAGAAGAGGTACACTACATCCCAGAGTACTGGGGGCTAGATTCAGGCCTGCTTCTTCTTCTTATTCCTACTACAGGCCCAGCTTAGACGTTTGCTGCCCATCTTAAACTCTCTTTAGTTCCCCTGATCCATGCTTATCTCCCTATTATCCTTCCCAGGGAGGGTTCATTAATCACCTGGCCATACATTCCCAAGTGACTGTACATACTTGGTATCTTGACAGACCACACAGGCTCATCTTTCACTCTTCAAGGATCCCTGGGCCTTCCAGGCATCCATGCTGGCAAGTACCTATACTCCCCTCCAGATCATTTATTTCTACTTCTGCTCTCTGTCTAGCCTCTGATGTGCTGTGTCATTAGGGCTAAGTAAACTTCCTATAAAGACTTTCAGTTCTCCTGTCTAAAAAATGAAGGGAATTCCTGAGGTTAAATCAAAGGCCATATTGAGAACATGTTTAGGCCACACACAATCTCTGAACTTCCAGTTGTTCGTCATTGCTTTAATCGAAAGAACTAAGGATTCGGAGTGGTGTGTGAGTCTCAACTGTGCTATAAAGTAGCCATGTAAACATTCTGTCCATTTTACATATCTGTCTGTTTTGTCTCTTACACAGGGATACAATTACTTGCTTTATGATTGATACAGATCCAAAATGAAAACATGTTAAAAGGTTAAAAGTACTCTCTCTATGAGGCAGGGTTAAATTTTACATACTACTATGCAGATGTGCAAGGAACTGAAATTTTATTATCTGCAGCTGATTTTATTTTGTCCTTGTCCTGCTGAAGGCAAAAGAAAACATAACCTACTTGTTAAAGACTATCCAGATCTTTCTGGGTTAAAACAGTATCTTTGGTTTAAAACAGGATGTTTGAATGTTGAATGTTATGTTAACTGACTAGTTAAAAAAAATTTCTATTTGTGTTAATTTTCTCCCTTCAGTTGGATCCTCTTCTTATTCTTCCCCAGATGGTTCCTGGTATAGGGGACACTTATGTGTCCGTATGGCCTGTGGTATACTTGCTATCCTCTTGGTCTTCACTTTCCAATGTAGTTTGAGTGGTTTGGTCATATTCCTGGTACTGAGGTGCATGGTTCTGGGTGGTTCTTTTGGGTGCAAACCTAATACACCTTGCTAAGTCCCAGACCCCTGTCATAGCAACTGTTTGTGAGGTCCTTAGCATCTATGGCCTCATTGACCCTAGTCCTCTTTATCGTCCAGTACTTCAAATGTTAACAATTCCATGTACCCTACTGAGGCTTGTAGAGACTTTTGATTTCCCTATACTACAAATACAAGCCCTGGACAATTTGGAAATAACTTAAGGTCCATCTACATAGTCACACTTCCTTTGTTCAATTCTTAACCACTACCTGGAAGGTACTGTATTTTTTTTTTTTTTTAACACAGTACAGAATATGAAGATCTCTTTAAGGGGCTATTCCCCGAGATGCTAGGAGAAAGTTCACTGTATACTTGGAGTATCCCCAAATAATCTGACTTTATGTGTCTTTTGATTCCAACTAGCCCACTTTGATTTTTACCTTAGGAGATGATTCAGGATCCTTATATCTGACTTCATGCTTCCCCTTCTCTCTCTCAGGCACAAAACCCTTTGTACTTCTTTGTTTTATTGGATGGCATATATTCCTGTCTTCTTCTACATTTTGGGTCACTCTGTATCCATATTTGTCCCAGACAGTCCTGATTTATGCCTGTTGTCACAGGTTAATTATTAATAGCTTCCACTTTCACCCTAAAAAAAAGGTACCAATTTGGAAAATAAATTATATGGTTACTTTACTAATGGGAGAATTCTAAAGGTTTATTTTTTCACATGAAAAATGTTGTCTTTAGGATTTAGAAATACTTTTCCTCTCTCAATCAAATATGCTGTTCAATATGGTAGATTCACTATGATTTGAGAAAGTCAGCTTTGAGTAGGAGATATCATTGATATAACCACTGGGCTGCCACCATAGGTTTCACTGTGAATAATGCTAATACTGGGAATTAGATGCTGTTGTAGAATATTTTATAGATGCCAGTGCAAATTGATGTAGCAGCCACCTTCCTCAGGATGAAAACCGTACTGTACATGGTTCCTCATATTAAATTTTTTATTTTTATTCAAAATTCAAAATAGGTACACATGATTGATAGACTCTATGCAATAATATCAGTATTCTAGTTAGAAGAAGGTTTGGGTAAGGATCTTATACCTGGAGTGGAAGGTGGAAGACTCATAATTCTCTAAATATAAGGTGTTCCAAGTTGCTGGGTGGCCAAAATGACTGTCAGATATCCCTTACACCAGTCTAACTCTAGGATCAATTAGTATAGTCTCCAAATTAGAGAATGTTGTTCCAATCCTACAGCTTTTTAGGTGTGTCCTTGGGGAACAAGCCAAGGTTACCACTTAATGAACTGAACCTGTTCAGGTACCCTGCATGAAAAGAATGATTTATTGGCCAACCAATCCTTTTTTTTTCCCTGTTGGAGCATATTTTTCAGGCATATCCTGGTTGTACAGCCATTAATTAGCTTTTTAACTTGAATCTATTAGTATATCATGAAACCATAGAATGAATTTATTCAAAACACTAGTGAAGTGATAACATATTAAAAAATATATGAAGTTTCTCTTTACAAACTGGAAATTGATCCAAAATTGGAGATCAGATACCAATTTTTATGCTTATTTTTGTAGTATGTTTTTGTTTTTAGTCTTTGACATAGTTATACTCTGAGGGTTCAATTCTAACCAAAACTTTTAGGATATGAGTTAAAAGCAGTAAGAAGCATCTTATATTTATTATGGGATTCCTAATCATCATTTCCATAAAAAATCTTATCTTAATGAACACTTTTCTAACTATGATTTTCTGTAAGCATTATACCTATGGCCATCAAGTCAATTCTGACTTATTAGTGACCCTATAGGACAGGGTAGAACTGCCTCATAGGGTTTCCAAGGAACAGCTGGTGGATTTGAATTGCCAGCCTTTTGGTTAACAGCTGTATCACTTAACCACTATACCATCAGGGCTCCTTAAGCATTATAGGCCTCTCTAATACTTTGAACAAAGGGTTAGAACTTAGAAACCATTTTTAATGCTCGTCAGGTTTTATACAAAAAAGTGAAAGTATACTATTAAATCACAAAAATCTGATAAAAGTCTGTACTCTCATTTTATTAGATAATAAACAACGAGTGCAATTGTTATGAACTTATTTAAAATTTAGAGAAACCTGTTATTTTGTTTTCAGTTTTACAAAATTATTTAAAGTATTGTCCAGTGATCCTGGGTTTGGGCCCTATGATCCAAAAAAAATTAAAATATAATTTGTTAGTATACACGCTGTCTTAGGCGAGGTTTTCTGGAGAAGCAAAACCAGTAAAGCATATAAACCTCTCTCTCTCTTTCTCTCTGTATATATATATATATATATATATATATAGATTATATAAAGAAAATGTCTCACGTGGTTGTAGAGACTGGAACATCCCAAATGTGTGAGTCAGGCTAGAGGCGTCTCCTGATTTCACGTGCGTAGCCACAGGGGCTGGTGAACCCAAGATCAGCAGGTCAGACAGCAGGGTTCTAAACCCAGCTTGAATTTCTGGCAGTTCCCTGTTGATATACTGCTGCAACCATTTTTGAATGATCTTCAGCAAAATTGTACTTGTGCATGATATTAATGATATTGTTCGATAATTTACACATTCAGTTGAATCACTTTTCTTTGGAATGGGCACAAATATGGATCTCTTCCAGTGAGTTGGCCAGGTAGCTGTCTTCCAAATTTCTTGGCATAGACAAGTGAGCACTTCTATTTGCATCCATTTGTTGAAACATCTCAATTCCTGGACCCTTGTTTTTCAAAAGTGCCTTAAGCATAGCTTGGACTTTTTCCTTCAGTACTGTCAGTTCTTGAACATATGCTGCCTCCTGAAATGGATGAACATTGACCAATTCTTTTAGGTATGAAGACTCTGTGTATTCCTTCCATCTTATCTTGATGCTTCCTGCGTCGTTTAATATTTTGCCTGTGGAATCCTTCAATATTGCAGCTTGAGTCTTGAATGTTTTCTTTAGTTCTTTCAGCTTGAGAAGTGCTGAGAGTATTCTTCCCTTTTGGTTTTCTAACTCCAGGTCTTTGCACATGTCATTATAATCCTTTGTCTTCTCAAGCCACCTTTTGAAATATTCTGTGCAGCTCTTTTACTGCATTGTTTCTTCCATTCACTTCAGCTACTCTGTGTTTAAGAGCAAGTTTCAGAGTCTTCTGACATCCATTTTGGTCTTTTCTGTATTTCCTGTCTTTTTAATGACCTTTTGTTTTCTTCATGTATGATGTCCTTGATGTCATTCCACAACTCGTCTGGTCTTCGGTCATTAATGTTTAGTGTGTCAAATCTATTCTTGAGATAGTATCTATATTCAGGTAGGATATATATAGTCAAGGTTGTACTTTGACTCTCATGAACTTGTTTTAATATTCTTCAGCTTCAACTGGAACTTGCATGTGAGCAGTTTGTGGTCTGTTCAGCAGTCAGCCCCTGGCCTTGTTCTGATTAGTGATATTGAGCTTTTTCATTGTCACTTTCCACACATGTAGTCTATTCGAGTCCTGTGTATTCCATCTGGTGTAGTTCACATGTGTAGTTGCCCTTTATGTGGTTGAAAAAAGGTATTTCCAATGAATTTGTTGTTGCAAAATTCTATCTTGCGATATCCGGCATTTTTTCTACCACCAAGGCCATATTTTCCAACTATTGATCCTTTTTTCTTTCCAACTCTCACATGCCAATCAGCAGTAATCATCAGTGCATCTTGATTGCATTAATGATCAGTTTCAGACAGCAGACATTGGTAAAAATCTTCAGTTTCTTTATCTTTGGCTTTGGTGTGTAAATTTGAATATTATATTAACTGGTCTTCTTTGTAGGCATATGAATATTATCCTATCACTGACAGTGTTGTACTTCAGGATAGATCTTGAAATGTTCTTTTTGATGATGAATGGGACACCATTCCTCTTCAATTTGTCATTCCCTGCATAGTAGACCATATGATTATCTGATTCAAAATGCCCAATACCAGTCCATTTCAGCTCACTAATGCCTAGAATATCTATCTTCCAGCGTTCCATTTCATTTCGACAACTTCCAATTTTCCTAGATTGATACTTTGTACATTCCACCTTCTGATTATTTATGGATGTTTGCAGCTGTTTCTTCCCTTCTGAGTTGTATCTCATCAGCAAATGAAGGTCCCAAAACTTCACTCCATGCATGTCATTAAGGTTGACCGTACTTTGAGGGAGCAGCTCTTCCCCAGTCATATTTTGAGCACCTTCCAACCTGAGGGGCTTATCTTCCAGCACTGTATCAGACAATGTTCTGCTATATAAGGTTTTCACTGGCCAATTTTTTTTTAAGAAGTAAATCGCCAGGTCTTTCTTCCTAGTCTGTTTTAGCCTGGAAGCTCTACTGAAACCTGTCCACTATATATTACCCTGCTGGTATTTGAAATACGGGTGGCATAGCTTCCAGCTTCACAGCAACACACAAGCCACCACTGTGTGCCAAACTGACAGATGTGTATTGGATTCTAGGGGTAGAATGGGAGTATATAAGATGAGCCTGGAACATCCTATTGTGCCAGAAAGTGAGGAAGTGCTCATAAAAACATGCAGACAAACAAACAAAACAACAAGCAAATGAAACTGAAACAGAAAAAACAAGAAAACCCGATAAAACAGTGGGGTATGTTGAGGGCAGGGCTTAAAACCTGTTTAGTTTCTACCCCTGCTGAGAATTTGCATTTCTAACAAGTTCCTGGGAAGTTATATACAAGAGTCACCTGGAAATCTAGTTAAACTGTGGATTCTGATTCAGTATTTCTGGGTTGGAAATGCAGATTCTCAGCAAGGCTTGGAATAGGAATAAGCCGTTTCAAAACCCTGGTTGAGGGACACTGGTACTCTGTAGCCACCTGTAGAGCAGAGGACCAGCACCCAAATTTTGGTTCAAGTGTTGAGACTGATGATACAATACATACACCAAGAGGGCATGACAAGTTTTATTACTTTTATAATTGTGGAAAGTAAGGCTGGCCTCCCAAACAGGTTCCAAGTGGCTTAAGAGAGATCAAAGAAAGGAGACTGGTTCAGAGTTTTTATTGTGGTTAGGGGTTGGGGCCAAGGTAAGATTTCTCATATGCAGAGAGGGGCTTGCATGGTTTGCTTGTCCCACCAGAGCCAGAAGAGGGAGCATTCAGACTTTCTGACCAGCTTGATGAGATTTGGGTCATAAAGGGAAGAAAGGGGGGTGAGCCTTAAAAGCTGTTAATCATCAAACATCAAAAAATAGGGTCATACTCCTCATTACGGGAACCAACCTGAAAGAGCTCCCAGTGGTTAAAGATGGAACAATTTGAACAACAAAATAAATAATGTGGTATTGGATTATAACCTAAAGTATAAAATAAATATCTATATATCCATAACGATACTAATAAATGATTGGATAAATAAATGAGGGAGAAGACACAAATCTTTCTGCAAAAGAATTCCAAATAATTTATGTGGATATGCCTTCTCTCAAGGAGGTAGAGTTTAACACCTCACCCCTTAAGTGTTGGCTGTCCTTAATGACTTGCTTGCAAAAGTACGGTGAAAACAGATGGGGTGGAAGGAGTAATTTTACAGTGGCGAAACCTGGCAAACACTATCTCAGTCATGTAATCAAGGTTAACATCATCAGTGGTAAGTCATGTGGGAGCATGTACTCTTGATGTCATGGGATAGTAATGGCACTTCTCTAGGGTCTTCCCCTCCCCCCCCAAACAATAAATCTAATCTAACCATGAGAAAAATATCTGACAAACCACACTGAAAGATATTCTGCAAAATACTACCCTACCTGTACCTTACCCTACAAGAAAAGTCTGAGAAACTGCCCCAATCTATAGGAGGCTAAGGCGGCATGATGCCTAAATGGAAAGTAGTAACCTGAATGGGATTCTGGAACAGAAAAGGAATGTTAGTGAAAATTAATAAAGTCTGAATAAAATATGGACTTTCGTTAATAATAATACATCAATATTGGTTCATTACTAGTGACAGATGTATCATGGTAGTAGTATAAGATGTTAGCAATAGAGAAAATGGGGTGTGGGGTATACAGGAACTCTGTACTGTACTTGTAAAATTCTGTAAATCTTTAACTATTCTAAGTAAGAAGTTTAACTTCAAAAATTTGCGATCTATTTGACCTCCAGGAATAGATATAAATATGTCGTTTCTTTCCCCCTAGGCATTTTATGAATACTAACCTATAGATTATAATTTATTATCTGTTCTTTTCCATTAATAAATGTTTCTTCTGAGTGATAGCAGGAACAAAATGTATGTATCTGAATATAATTAAACAGGTGGTATTTTGTGTTGGTATAATCATATGCAATGAGTGATGAGATATCTTTCTTAAGGTTGAATTTTAAATTTAAGTCTGTTGTATGGGAAATATAGGTAAATGTTACATTACCACTAACAAATGTTCTTAATTATAAAACATGTTTAATAAAACAGGAAGTGGCTGTGGCTGGAAAAATGAGCTAAGAGTTTTGGGAATAAAAATAGCTTCTTCATACTTTACTTCCCAAGTAAGATTTACTTATTATTTTATAAAAATAAAGATAAATTAAGTTGTTGTGAAACAATTTGCACAGAGGAGAATCCTCTCTCAAAATAGAATACTGAATAATTGTCATTCAAAATGTGCAGTGCTTATTCTTGATTCAGGAACCTATGTAGTGAAATAAATGTTTCAGAGGCATGTCCATAATAGATACTTCATAATTGCTCATGAAATTGAATTTAAAATAGTTATGTTTTCCATTTGTTAAAATTTGCTTGAATTTTAAAAATTGATATGAATTAATTTGAGAGATTAATAATTTTGATATTTTACGATCAGTATTTAAACACTGCATTTTATTTAACCTTTTTTGAGTCATTTTGTAAATAAACTCGTATGTCTGTATTTTATTATTTAGATATCTGGACTTGAAGCAACATTGCGTCACATGGAAATTGGGCGTAGTTACACTGTTCCTGAAATCAGAGGTAAAAGTAAAATGTGATGAAACCCTAATATTCTAAGGATATTTAAATATGAATAACTAGCACAGAAGCTTCTTCAAAAATTAAACTTTTAATGAAAATATTAAGATTATATATGATATTGTATAGATTAGTTTTAGAGAAAAATATTAATCATCAATAGTGGGAGGACTTCTGCTTCTGGCCATAATGGAGTACCTGGTACCAGAGTAGCCTTCTCTCCATAAAC